TGAGTCTATTCAGCAACTGGCAAAATATTATTCTTTGTCAACTATGGTAGACATCCCAACATTGTCCAAACCAATCAAACATATACAATAACTCCTATATCCACAGACTTCACTACCACCATAGCAAAGATTTACAATGAAACCAAAACCACCCTTGAAAAAGCAGCCTCTACTATGAAAGCCCAATATGATTATCATTATTGTCCTGCTCATAATTACTCAGTCTATGATAAAGTTTGGCTGGACACCACCAACTTACATCTGCTAAGACCAAAGTGCAAACTCAATGACAAATAGACTGGTCCTTTTCAAATCACAGCAAAGGTCAGAGCATCTGCCTATCATCTTCATCTCCCAAAGCACTGGTAGATCTACAATGTCTTTAATGAATCATTATTAACACCATATATTGCACTGGCCTTCCCAAATCAAGAACAACTACTGCTGCTCCCTTCAGACCTGATCAATGATGAAGAACATTATGAAATTGATCAAATATTACACTATAAACTATAAAAGGTCAAGGTCCACAGTAGAGGAATGATAACAACTGTGGATTATCTGGTCAGTTGGAAGGGTTATAGACCCAAATCCAACCAATGGGTCAATAAAAAATGAATGGATGCAGCTGAGACAATCCAGGACTATGAGACATCCCTAAATTAAGCCATTGGGATGATGGTCTTAAGAAGAGGGTAATGTTACAATTTTTTCTTTATTTTATTTCTTTTCAACTAATTAACTCCTATCCATGCTTAGTCAGAGCATCCAGACAAGTGCTTAAGACCATGAGACAAAGCTTAGTCATCACAACTAGGCCAAGTCAGTCATTGTCTTTTGATGCAACAATGTTACCTGATAATGCACAATCAGTCTTTTATGTACAGTAGCAATACCTAAGGACAATGGGCACAGAGGATGCAGCAATGCATAATAGGCAGCAGTATTAATAGTTACATATAAACAGTATTTAAAGAGGCTCACTCTCACTGGTAATCCCCAGCTTTGAGCTAAAGTTTATTCTTACACTATTCTATACTTGAGCCAATACCAAGGTCTTGTGACACACTGATCAGAATATGCATCAGTGGACTTGATTGATCTCCTGAAGTGCAAGGAGACTTTCATTTATCATATGTTTCTGTTCACATGATGCTTAAGTCTAACATTTTGACTGAAATATAAACTCAATGACAAATGAACTGGACTCTTTTCTATGCTCACAAAAGTTGGCACTTTCTCTTACTGTCTTATATTGCCTGACACCTGGTATATACACTCAGTCTTTAATGAAATATTGCTTATGCTATATATTGCATCAGCTTTTTCCAATCAGAAAGTCCCACCTCCTCCTGCACTGATTCTGATCAATGATGAGAAACACTATAAAGTTAAATAAATTCTCAATTATAAGCTTTATAAGATTCAGCACCATAAAAGAGGCAGTCAAACTGTTGTATATTATCTGATCAAATAGAAGAGTTATAGATTGGAATCCAATCATTGGGTCTATGAGTGGGACCTCAATGCTGATAACACTATTTATGACTATAAAATCTCTCTCAATTGATCCATCAGGATAATAGTCTTAAGAAAAGTGTGATGTTATGATTTTTATATTCTTTTCTTTTCTTCTTTTCTTTTTCTTATCTTATCTGGATATCTATCTTATCTAAGTGCTTCCACAGAAGGCATGGAATTATTAGGTAATCACAACAGATAGAGCACTATTGTACTTAGTCATCTCATCCTCAGACAATGCTCTATTGTCTCACTAATGACAATCAGACAGAATCAGCATCACAACACAGAACAGTACAATAGATAGTGGTTATATTTATTACAAGCTAAACAGTATATAAGTAGAATAGCTCTCACTGTAATAACTCAGCTTGAAGCTATAAGTTTATCTCATATTATCTTCTCTTGAGCCTTGTCTGTCTTTAGCCTTGAAAGCACCTCATCTATTAGAACACACTAAGTGGACTCTAGCATGACTGTACAAACACAATACAGTGCTAGTTTATCACATGTTCAGATCACATGCTAGCTAGGTCTAACAAATATATTTGACACTATGTTAAATCTTGCACAGTTTGTGAATATAATAAGACATCTAGACATTGTCCTTATGAGTAGCTTAAATCCTTACTGGTTTTGAAATGCCTATGAGATTCTATTTTTATAGATTTTATCAAATAACTATCAGACTTCAATGGATTCACTGCTATTCTAGTAGTCATTGATCATGCTAGCAAGCAAGCTATATTCATCTCCACTCATGACACTATCAATTCCACAAAACTCATTCAGCTTCTTGTTATACATGTCTTTTTCAAGCATGGCATATCCAATCATCTTGCCACTGACTGTGGCTCTGAATTCATCTTCTAATTCACTTGCACCCTAGCTATAGCCTTTGACATGAAACTCCACTTCACTCCTGAATATCATCCAGAGGCTGACAGACAAACTGAATGTGCTAATCAAACTCTGGAACAATATATTCACATCTACTGTTCCTATCAATAAGACAATTGGGACACTCTCCTATTCATTGCTCAGTTTGCTTACAACAATACTTCTAATGCTTCTATCAGAATCTCCCCATTCTTTACCAACAGGGGTTACCATTCTAACATTGCTATCTATCTTGAATGAGATATTGCCTCTGCCTAGGCCTATGACTTTGTAGTCAATCTTGATGAACTTCATCAATTCCTACACAATAAAATCTTCCAAGCTCAGTCCTGCTGCAAGATCCAAGTGGACAAGCATCAGATTTCTGCCTCCTCTTTTAAAGCAGGCAATAAGGTCTACCTCAATTCCAAACACATCAGGACTACTTGCTCCACTGCAAAATTCACTGAAAAATTCCTAGAACCATTTAAAATCATCACTCAATCCAGGTCTCATTCCTTTATGCCATCCACCCAGTCTTCCACATTTCACAGCTGGAATCTATAGAAGAGAAGACCATTTCCAACTGCATCCAACCTCTGCTGTCTCTGATTGAAGTTGGGATATTAAGCCCCTTGGATTTGAGGTTGGAGATAATATCAGAGACTTTGTTATCTCAATTCTCTCAGAAAATCTTGGTCCTCTGAGTCCAGTAGCAGGTGTTGAGCTCATGGGCAAGGAAATGCATATCACAGAGGTTGTTAGGCTTTCTGTAATAGGTTATATCATTTTTGATACAGGTGTAGGGTTCACAGTAGAGAGCATGATGCAAGGAGTTATCTCTGTGACTGATTTATGAAGCATACTGCTGAATGAATTGATATTCAAACTAAGGTAGTATAAGATATCCTATGGCTTATATACTAAATAGCTAGTCTGAGTTAGAGTCTGATAGATTCTGATGAGTTGGTCTCTTTACTACTGTTTCAGATTCTAGATTGGAAATAAAATAACAAATAAAATGAGAGTTAGTTACACTATGGGGTTCTGTGGAGTATAACAAAGTTGGAAAAAAGGAAAACACTCAGTATTCCTTCATCACATGAAAACTCTATTGATTGGTAAAGCAAGGATCTGCAGCATGTATATTACAGTAGCCTTTAACTCTCCAGAACTCTTTAGAAAACCAAAAATGTAGCTTATATATGAGGTATCAATTAGTTACAAGAGAATTAATCAATTCCATTCCAAATTATTCTCACTTGAGTGAATCTAAGTTTGAAAAAGACTACACTAAATGCTTGCTGAATCTTAGAAGAATATGCTGAATTCTTTTCTTTGATTATTAAGATTTCTGTAAAAGAACTCATATTGCATTTGATCTCTAGTGAAATACTATTACAGCATTACTCTATATGATTAAATACTTGCTCAAGCATAACAGTTTGGATTTACAAATGCTGATGATCCTACAGTCTGAAATTGAAGTGCAAGGATGCCATGACTATCATATTATATAAATCTCACAGCTCCAGAATATACTGCTTCCTCCAGCTCCCTCTTGAATCCTCTTGCATCACTCAGTCATGTCCAGCACTTTTTGTCAAATCCTTCAGTATACCATGGACTTTGTCACATCACATCTCTCTGGTTTACCACCAGCTGTATCATCATCTTATGAATACTAAGCTTGTTTCTGGCACATCTGTGAGAGCTGTGTAGCTCTATGGCTATGAGCTTTCAAGAAGCAATACTTATCAGTAATAAAACACTCTTCCTTTGCAAACCAGTTCAAAAGATCTTACACACAAGGACCATATCTGGAACACCCTATATCTCTGAATTTCTCGTGTGCTTCACTATTCTAATGCTGATGCCATCAACCAACATGATCTCACCTTAAATTCTGAACCGAGATCAATGGCTTGATGAAAAATCGAATGCGCGATGAGATGGTTACTCCCAGCTCCATTAACTAAGTGGCAAACAACACACGCGTCACACAACACAATAAGACAATCAATCCCTTGGCAATTAAGTTCTCGTGCATAAACATCCATTATCAGAAGAATGGCAACAAATAGAAGGCTACACTGGGAACTTCAATCGTATGATCAGCATTATTTCCGCCGGCACATTGCGACGACAAGCTCGTTAAACCCAACGCGACAATTACTACAGCAAAGTTTACCTTGTGAAATCAGAATCCATCAATGGAACGCACTCGCCAGCGAAGAGACGAGCAAATGAAGCCGGAATGGAAACGGGGATGAACTGCAAAGGGACGTTCCGAGGTTGCGCACTGAGACAAAGACAAGCCGTGCCCGTGCGTGAATCCAAACCCCGCAGACAGCCGCTATATCCAGCGATGCCTTGATTTTCGGCGAGGGCTGATAGTCGCCACCTCGGGTACCTCGTCAATGATCGATCCATGACCAAGTTTGGAGGTCACGATGATCTCAACTCCTGTACTTTTGAATTCATGGGAGCACCGCGGCTAAGGATAGCGCCAGAAGGGGTTGTCCTGATGATGAAAGTTGATTTTACGACACTCGAGGCTGTAGCATGTTAATCCCAGATAAAGCACTGGAATTTGAAACATGGCGGAAGCAAAAAAAGGCATGGTCCATTCATCGGTAAGGGGTGGGTGCAATATACGACGGGAAGTGGGATGATGATGCGTCATAGATTACGATGTACGATCCCGCGAAGCCCATTGTGTGGTTGCTAGCGGCGACGATGAGCTCGGAGGATGAGCAACGTGGAGAAACGCGACAAATAGAAAGCGACAGGAAATGTCAATTGACTGCCAGCTGTAACGTACAACCCTGAGGGGAACCAGGAGAGGAGGTGAGCATTGTGTATCCCAGGGGAAGGACGGCCCAGACCGCAAGTGCCTGGTCGGATGCAAGGCAATATTGAATGGAGAATGAGAGGTCTGGACTCGCGGGGAGCAGAAGCGATGACCACGGCTCGGAGGTTTATAGTCAATGTCGCAGTTTTCTCGAAAGCAAAGGGTGGGAATTCGAAAGTAGTTAACGATATTCGCGGCGACGTGGGGGGTTCTTGTAGACCATTGATACGCAACAGTGTGTGGATAAAAAGTTGAGTTGTCCAAGCTGTAGGGAATTGCCAAAGAAAGAATAGCAGTCGTCTCGTGGCGAGAGAAAAAAGAAAGGTAAAACCTCTGAACAGCAGGAGCCTAGACCGCGCGAAGCCGGAGTATCCCGGAACAAAGGCCTAGACCTGTCTGGGCCACGTTGCATCTAGACCGTCCTAGCAGACCGTGGGTCTAGGCAAGGCTGAGCTGCCCGTAAATCGTAAATCGTAAATCCGGTAGATTTGCTGGCGTTGCAGAGAGAATATAAGGCAGCAGAGCAGCGTACAAGTAGAGCAGTGTAAATGGAAAGAAGGAGCGAGACAAGGGAAGGAAAGGAAAGGAAAGAAGGAAAGAGAAAGAAGGGAGCAAATGATGTGATGTGAATTTGATGTGTATGGACGCGGGCACAAATACATAACCAGGGCCCTGCTCTTGACCATCAGAGCCAGCATCTCCGTCCGCTTATTATACATGGACGACTCGTCGCAATCTAGACAGCTCTTCCCGCCTCTCAACATTAATCTCCCTCCATTCCGCTCCCAACCCCAGCAGTACCAGTCGCCACAGCACGAGTATCCTCAGCAGCACCAGCAGTATCAGCAGCAGGAATACTGGCAACAGCGCACTTCCAGTTCGAGGGATGATATACACCAGCAGCAGGATATCAAACCAGTGATGCAGACTCAGCAGCCAAAGCAGGAGGGCGGTGTCGAAGATGGAATGCCCTCCACCAGTGATTTTGTGAAAAAGCTCTACAAGTGCGTCGCTTTATTTCCCTTCTTTGCTCTCTCTCACCCTAGCCCAGGATGCTAGAGGATCAGTCCTTCCAACACGTCGTCTCGTGGGGTCCCCAAGGCGATTGTTTCGTGGTCAAGGTAACTAGTCCATCTCGCCACTCAACCTCTGCTAACAATACCAGGACATGAACGAATTCACAAAATCAATTCTACCACGCATGTTCAAACACTCGAATTTCGCCTCGTTTGTGCGTCAACTGAACAAGTATGACTTTCACAAAGTCAAGAACACGGATGACAACCAATTCGGCGAACATGTGTGTTCAATACCTATTTCTTTCTTTCCATTTCCTCATCGTTCGTTAGAGCTGGACATTCCGGCATCCGGATTTCCATGCTGACCGGCGCGATGCACTAGAAAACATCAAGCGCAAGGTCCCCACATCGCGGAAATCGCTCCCCGCTCCACAACCGACATCATCACGGCCTCTACCGCCGTCTCTCGCTTCTCCGTCAGCATCGCAGACCGACTATCTCCAGGCCCAAATAGAGCGCCTCACCCAGGCCCAAGAAGAGATGTCGGCGCATGTACGGAACCTAGAGCGAAATTACCACGACGTTCTCGTGGAGATGGTCGGATTCCAGCGGAATATGGCGCAGCAGGACGGGCTGATGCAAAACCTCATTCAGTATTTTTTGCAAGTTGAGAATGGTGAGTGTCGTTGAGTGATTTCTTGCATCCCCCCCGTCCCCCCGCCGCTGCTTCATATGTTGTCGTCTCGTCCGCCATATTTCTCATTCGTCATATCCAGAAAACAATTATGGATGAGCGAACGACGCGCTCATTTTTTCTTTTTCCTATTTTATTATACGATATATCCACCGTCATTTGACCCCCCCCACTCCCTCTCCATTTTGTCGCTCTGTATCAAAATCCACCTGTGTACTGACTACATGTTTTCTTTTCTATAATACCTTCAACTTCATCAATACAAATCTCTTATAAAACTTACTCAGGCAAATCGAAACGCGCGTCCTCGTCTCAACAGCAAGCGATGCTACAGTCGCCTTCCGACCCATCCTCTTCAAATCCGAACCCGTTCCTACAGCAACACGAAACGCTCCGAATGATGAACCCAGATAGTGATGTTGCCCGCGCGTCCCTTATGCAAATGAACGAAATTTCGCGGCGGCAAATGGAATTCTCCCAACCTTCCTCGTTTGACGACCGGCCGCCATCACGGATATGGACTGCCGCCGCCAATGCAGGACTCATCAACCCCGACGGGTCTGTCAAAGGCGCACCCCCAGTCCCGTCTATATCTGGCGAGAAGATCACCTCGCGGGTGGAGGCCCTGCAGCGTATCGAGGAGCTGCAGCGGCTGCGTATGGGAAGCGCGCCGCCAAATATCCCGCCACTACCCCCGCCTCCCCAACCGCAAGAGGAGATGGTCATGCCGACGTCGTCGACAGGAACGCTCACTTCGCCAGAGGGTACTCCGCCGTCGTTTGCGTGGCCTGAAGAAGGCGACATGGGCCAGCTTGGAGGCGGCGATCCAGGTAACCAGGTGGCTGGGGCAGGACACGAGGGTCTGCAGGTGTATACTGTTGGGCACCTGATGCCCAAGAGCGCGGTAGACGACGCGAATGGTAATTGGACGTATGATCCGACGATGTGGGATCCTCAGCAACAGCAACAGCGGCAGCAACAGCCACAGCAGCCACAGGCGAGCACGTCGCAGCAAGCGCTCCAACCCGCCTCGTCGTCGTCCCAACAGCGGCTCCGGGTACGGCGGAGCACGTACGTTCCCGGGTGGGCGGTGCCTCCACGGGTGCTGCTCGTCGACGACGATGCCGTGAGCCGAAAACTGAGCAGCAAGTTTCTCCAAGTGTTTGGGTGCACGATCGACGTGGCCGTTGACGGTGTCGGAGCGGTGAACAAGATGAATCTTGAAAAGTACGATTTGGTATTGATGGTATGTTCCGTGTATGTTTCTCTGCCTTTTTTTTTTCTTTAATTGAGCTCTCCAGGACATTGTGATGCCGAAACTGGACGGTGTCTCTGCAACGTCGCTGATCCGGAAATTCGACCATATGACGCCTATCATCAGTATGACGAGCAACTCGAAGCCCAACGAGATCATGACGTACTATTCGTCGGGGATGAACGACATTCTGCCAAAGCCGTTCACCAAGGAGGGGCTGCTAGGTATGCTGGAGAAGCACCTGATGCACCTCAAGGTGATCCAGGAGATGGCGAGCGCGAGGGTGTCGCGACCGCTGGGACCAGGGGATGTGGGGCCGTACATGGGGAATGGGGAGGTGGACAATGAAGGGCGAGTGAATCCGCTGGCGGGTATGGGCCTCACGGACGAGCAGTACAACATGATCCTGCAGAATATCGTGAACGGGGAGACATTTGTAGGGGAGAAGCGGTCATTGGAAGAAGACGATGACGGGCGGGAAGGGAAACGAGGTCGATTCGAGGTGATTGAGTAGACATTGTATCGATATCATTATTTTATTCGATCTGTACGAGATGCATATATTAATACGAACCCCTATCATACTGCGGCCCGGATTACCATATACGTGCATAGGAAAAAAAATATGGTCGCGTTGCAACTCTCATGTCGAGCACAGAGGGATCGTCAAGCAAGTCTGTGCTTCCTTCGCATTCATGGCTGCACTTTGTTGCTGGGGGGTAAGTAAATCTGTAGCGTCCGAGATTTGTGACTGAAGGGTGTTTTTAGTATTGGAGGGATGTGCGGTGCGATTGTAACGAGCCCGTTCGACGTTGTCAAGACCCGACTACAGTCGGACCTCTTTCGTGTAAACGCGACGGCAAGCGTTGGGGGCGGGGGTGTGCTCGTCGCCTCTGCACCGAAACCTGGGGGGCTGCTGTGGAACTTTGTAGAAACGGGGCATATACTGCGCGACATATACCGTAACGAATCGCCCAAAGCGCTATTCAAAGGACTGGGCCCATCCCTGGTTGGGATCATCCCAGCACGGTCCATCAACTTTTTCACATACGGCAACGGCAAAGAGGTGATTGCGCGAACGTTCAACGAGGGGCGGGAGAATTCGTATGTGCACCTGTGTGCGGCTGCACTGGCTGGGGTTGTGACTGGAACAGCGACGAATCCGATATGGGTGGTGAAGACACGGCTGCAGCTTGTGCAAGGGAAAGGCGGGAGCTGGGAGATGATCCGGCATATTTTCCGGGACGAGGGTGTTCGGGGGTTCTACAAGGGACTGAGTGCGAGCTATCTGGGCGTGACGGAGGGCACGATCCAGTGGGTGCTCTATGAGCGACTGAAGAAGATGAGTGCGAACACACAGGGCAAGGGCGGCCTGCAAGAATGGCTGGGTATGCTCGGCAGTGCAGGAACCGCGAAATGTGTCGCGAGTCTTATCACTTATCCTCACGAGGTATGTCCCAACGAACAGTCAGTTTTTCTTTTATTCATTGTTTGCAGGTCATTCGAACACGGCTACGACAGCCAAAGGTCGGGGGACGGGTCAAGTACAGCGGACTGTTACAGACATTAAAACTTGTTATCAAGGAAGAAGGGGCAGCGTCGTTATACGGAGGACTGAGTGCACATCTGCTACGAGTAGTGCCCAATGCAGTGGTTATGTACTCGATATACGAGGGTATCCTACGCTGGGGCCACCATTACCACTATTAACATCAAAAAAAGTAGTACTCCATATTTATTCTAGAATCACTCCTCACGTAATACACAGCTATCTGTGCCACCCACCACCATGGGTGAAGTCGTCAATGTCGCCGTCGCATTTCTTGTCATTATCTTCATCTTTCGCTGGGTGACGACTGCAGGCACGTTGTCGTCGTCGTCGTCTCTCTGTGCTCTGGTATGTGCTGACTGTTCGCAGGAGACAAGAATACTGGCGATGTGCTCGGATTTAGACCAAAGAACGTGACCCAGGAAATGGTGAGTCCGTCACAGTAAAGAGCGGGAAACAGCTGACGGGTGTTAGATTGATGCAGTAACAGCAGTATTTCCCGACATCCCTCCGTACGTGACCAGCCAGCCTCGAGTACAACAGAACAACGCTCACCAGTTCTTAGAGACAACATTCGATACGACCTTCTCCGGACGGGCAACGTCGAGCAGACCACCAACAAGATCCTCGAGCGCGGCTTCCTTGATGCACCTCCTCCCCAATACTACACTGTCTACCCCCGCCAATCTCCCGCCCCCGCCCCGCCACCGGCCCCGACACCGGCTCCCCCCCAAAAAGAGACCCTTATATCCCGCTACGGCCTCCATGACAGACTAGCTGCAGAACCCTCTATCCTGGAATCAGAAATCGGTGGCAAGGCAGTCTGGGAAGACAGCCCAGAGAAACGGGAGGCCAGCCTGAAGGAACGCAAGGCAAGGATGATCCTGGCTGCTCGACAGTGAGTTTCTCGATATGTCGTCGCTTGCTCTGCTCACTCGCCTGCAGACGACTGCTCGCAAAAGAATCATCATGAAAAGTAGTAGTACATATACATACATCTGTTTCAGTAAATGAAGAATAAGACAATGGGTATTATTACTGCGGCATGTCCTTCCGCTTCCTGATGATCCTCTCTGGCCGCTTCAGTATCGCGTCGACCAGCAACTCGCTCACGTCTTCATCGTCATCCTCCTGCTCGTCTCTTCTCCTCCGTCTTCCCCTCTCCAGCGGATACCACGGCCCGATATACGGTGTCACCAATGCTGCATACGCCTGCATCTGATACATCAGCTGCTGGATTTGCGCCTGCATCTCCGCTTCCCGGCGTCTCCATCCTTCTCGTTCCCACTGCATCATCTCCTCGTACCTCTGCAGCGACTCTCGCGCCTGTTCTTCACGCTGACGCGCCTCCTCGAGCAGCTGTTCCGGCGTGCTATTCAGCGTCGGGAACTCGATGGGCTCATCCACAACATCCGACGGCGACTCCTCCAAGTCGGGCTCCGAGGGCGGTAGCGGCGTCATCATAGGCGTGTCATGCTCCTCCCGGCTCGAACTCGACACGCTTCTCGCCACGTCCAGCTTCTCTAGCATCTTCCTGCCCTTGACACCCTTGAACGGGTCCTTGCCTCGTCTCCTCCTCTCCTTGCTCCTCGCAGACTGAGGTTTGACCACAGGCACAGGATCAGGACATCGCTCTTCTGTCATACCGTCAGCCCCACCCTTTCTTCCACTACGAGTCCTAGCACTCACCGGTTCCTTCCACCACGCCCTTCCTCCAGTACAAGACAGCCACAATTGTCGTAACAGCGAGCAGCAGCAGCAGCAGCAGCATCATCATCGTGGCCTCCAGGTACATCGTGGCTGCATGAGAGAGAGTCACTCTCAGAGTAAGTGGGAAGCTGCAAGGCGGGCACGTGGTCGAGGGACCGATCCATAAGGTATGACGAATTATATATTTAATTTGACTTCCTTTTTTGATTCACCTCCTCCATCTGGCCGCATGAACTTTCCTCGCACGGACCTCGGATCACTCACTCGGTTCCGTACAGTTTCACACCAAAAGTACACGTATGCTTCATTCTTCATTTTACCATGCGTATTTTTACGGCCCCCCTGCAAGCGCCAGTATCCTCGACACCGCTTGCTCAGCCATCGACATCACCACTCCCTGTGGATTACCCACCGGCAGCGCCGGAACCTGATAACCAGTCAACACCTCTATACTTAGCCAACGCCACAAATACTCACGATCGAAGCCTATAAAAAGCATCGTCAGAGTAGTAAAAATACGCACTCCCCTCAAATACTCACATCAACAATGAAAAGGTTATTCGTTCCAAACACTAGAGTGTTTTCGTCCACCACGGCACCTATAGCATTCGATCCAACCCAGTGGTTCGAGCCGAGCGATGCCTACCCCAAATAATATAAAATACCACCGTCCGCAAAAACACCGAAGACTCACCACCGAATAATCAGCCACTAGACCGCCTGTCAGTCCTCTTCTTTGGAACCAACCAAATCACTCACCGTAATCTTCCATAGTCGTCGTGTTATCGGGCGTAATCATCGTCAGCCCATTAACTGATTCTCATCAGCTAAACAAAACAGCCCAACAGAAGAATCCCGTACTTACCCAACGGCACAGTTGACACGATCTCTTCAAGACCCTGAAGAAGCGTCTCCCTGTCAATCTCATCCACAAACCACGGATTTACCAGGGCCCTCGCCGTCAGCGCAACATCGATTCCAATTCGTCCTCGGGACGTCAGGCCCGTAGATCTAAAGATCTCTCAGCGGCAGTCCAGCACTTGACCCCAAATAGCTGAACCCACAAGTACGCCGTAATCGTAAACATCTGACTGTGGAACGTTGGAAACTCCCGACACACACAACAGAGGCAGACTGACCTTGCATTGTATGGATACACGGTATCTACCGAAGCAGCTCCAGGCCTGACAGTTCCTTGCATCTGGAACCAAAGCCATCAGCTAATCATCTTCTATAGTGCCCCACTTACCCAACGCGTGTTTCCATCGCTCCCGCACAGAGCACGCCAAAAATTTACTCTAATCAATGAGCTGACGTTGTATCCGTAAACACCAACCCTCACCTTGGCGAAGCCTGGGCCAACACGCCGGACCGGTTAGCCAAATACTGGTTAGCATCGGCCTCGCGTGGATCGCTCCAGACAGTAGCCCAATTATCATACGCATCCACGGACGGATGCGTAAAGACCAGCTACACGTTCATCAGCAAGACGCCACAGACACTCAAAGCACCAGTACCCACATTAATTGACGGATTGTCCGAGACCTAGACCCATCATCAACACCAATTCACCAAAACATCATGACGTTACTCACATTATACCCCACCGGCAAATCAATCCAGTCCTCCTCATCCGGCAACTCCAATCCCGCCGCCTGCACAACCTCAATCATATCCTCCGGCCCGATCCCGCTCCTAAACAGTACCCTCGGACTCCCAAACGACCCCGCGGCTAGAACAACCCGCCCGTTAGGCGTCAGCGGTACCACTCCATCCGGACCCAACGACGTGTCGTTCGTCGCCACTCCAGTAATCTGGGCACCGTCCCTAACCACATTTAGCACGTACACCCACTGCTTGAACGTAAAATTCGGCCGCGTATTGGCGCTTTGGAGGTACGTAGCGACGGGCCCGCCGCGTTGGCCGCCGATGAACTGCAGGACGCCGTTAGCGGTGAAATGAGAATGAACTCCGTGCTTATTACCGAATACGCGCTATACCCATATATATGGTCCTTACTATCAGGATCATCGTTAATCGTCACCTGTCTATATCCCTGGTACCCTAGCAACATCGCCGTCACATTCTCCGTCTGTTCCAAGTAGCGCAACCCGTCCGTCGACGGGTGATCTGTGCTGGGGATTCGGTCTATCAGTTTCGCCGTGTATGGCGCGTGGTTTACCCATGACGACGGCCAGCCTTGTTCCGTAGAAAAGTCAGAGTCGGCCGGATACCAGTACAGTCTGTAAAGGATCAGAATAATGGTGTAAATCCAGAAATATGACACGTACGCTCCGTTGACAGATGTCCCCCCCCCAACGAGACAACCAGCAAATGTGTTCACGTCTGGTCCAGTGGTCAACTCTAAGAGAACAAAGAAACAAGGAACAATCCCATCTACCTTTACACCACCAAAACGGGTTACTATCCGTAAACAACGTCTCTGTTCCGATTCAGAATCCCATCATCCACAAAAAAGCGTATAGATACACACCAAATAGCCCGGGTACGTCGAATTTTGTTAGCTAAAGCAGGTTGAGTACTCTGACCAAAAAAACTAACAAACGACAAACCGGCTGCCCATCAGCCCAATCAGGCGCATACCGCCCTCCTGTCTCCCACGTACTCGGTCCTCCCCTCTCCAGTAACAACACATTCTTACCGGCTTCGGACAATCGATCAGCAGCGATGATACCCCCAGGTCCAGCACCAACGATAATATAATCGTATGCAGTCGCCTAAACGCACTCTATCAGTTCCAAGTCCACTACAGATAAACTACCGTACAGTGACAGTAGGCGTCGCCGAAGATGTCGCGGACGTAGTACTAGTCGCCGTCGTCGTCGTTGTCGTCGACGTAAACGTCCCACTGCTCCCAGTACCCCCAGCAGCCCAGTTCGCATAATCAGAGGCCGACGCATGCGCAGACGAGAAATCCAGACCGTAAAATCCGACTGTTCAAAATCAGATCCCTTCCTTTCAACAGTAGAAGAAAAATTACAGTCGGTGTGCTCCTGAAAATCACTCTCAGGATCCGAGGGGTCACTACAAAACACGCGTTAGTACGTAGAAGGTAGGGAGTCCAGAATGACCACCCACTCCACAGGAATGCTGCTAAACGCCCACGCAGGAGCTCCAAACGAAGTCGTATCCAGGCCTCCGCCGGACCAAGCTAGTTACATCAGTCTCGACAAAAGTTAACTCGAAGCCAACAAAACCCAACTGACTAGTACAATTCTCACACCGATACACCCACTTCCAATGTGTCGAATTCACCTTTGTACTCGGCAAATCCGTCAGGATAGGTCCAACCATAGCCCTGTCAATTCCTCAATATCAACGCCCCCCCATCCACACAAAAAACTCACAGCGGCTGTATATAATCCGTAGCCCATCTGGCGCTACTCACAACCTCATCCCCATTTACCCAGGCTACCAGCAGCAACGCCTCGATCATCACGCCTGCGGGACTCACCCCCGACCATTCCGTATCGATCGGCGCGACGATCTCCCCAATGAACTCTGTCGCGCCCGAGTCCAGCGGCGGGAAGACGTAGCCATACGTCACATTATGCACCGGGTCCGTCAAGCCGTAGAACGTTATCCCATTATCAGGATCGACGTATTGCGTGCCGAGTTGGGCGTGTGCTAAGAAGGAGTGTTAGACAGAAAGACACTCCGGCTGAGGGGACACTAACCTGTTCGAAGGAAAGCTAGACCCAGAGTCAGAGTACACCCAAGAAGACGCATCCTTCGTATTGATACGCACGTCAAAACCAACTCTGGTAGTTTTTAACTCTGTGTGGTATGCGAAGAACTTCCGTGGAGTGGAAGTGGGGTATCTTGATTGAGTTTTCGTATGAATACTCCAGTTGGCGCGTGATGCGAACGGATAATTGTCTAGCGTACGACGTGGCAGTGGACCTGGTCGTGATCAAACCGTGATGATTGAAGAAACCATATCGCGCCACCGATAAAGTCCCGATGGATATCCAGACTAGTACGATAGCGTTGTGGCATCAGTGCAAAGCAGGGGTTGAGCAGGGGACAACGCTGCGGGCCAGTAATGCTTCAGAGGTATTTCCGGATAACGGTGCTATTAGAAGGCAAACCGAACAGTGGTCTGAATGACAACATTGCAGCGAAGGAGAACGCGCCTTTCTTACAACTGTAGGCAAATGACGTTCCAGAGACATTAAACAACTAAGCAGGTCTCTTCGTTTCTTCGTTTAGCTCAATAAAAAGAAAACGTCGCAACGAAGCAATTATACCTTTCTAAAATGCAGAAGATATCCCGACAGGCGTCTCAAAAGGTCCGTATTCGAGGGTTAGCTAGCCATGGCACAGGAAAGGAGGTCTTCAAGAACGACCTGTTCGGCTCTCCCATTACATCAAAGAAAGTACAAGAACACGCAAGGTATTCATTAAACAACAGGGGCCTACCAAGAGTACACAACTGCCAAAATAACAAAGGTGAGATGGAGACATCATCATGACGACAAATAACGCACCTAGATTTACTATACTAGAGATCGTAAAAATAACAACCAAAAATTGCCACGTAGAGAACATGCGGAGGAAAGGAAGCGCGCTTGGGGGTTGTGGACAATCATAGTCGGCGAAATCAAGGTGATCCGTACGAGAGAAAGAGCCAGCTGGCGGATCTTGTACCCTTCGTGACTTTATACGAGATGAACCTAATAGATCCCTGTTAAAATAACCCGTGGTGCGCAGTAATAACCATGAGATGACAGAGAGTCGAGTACCCTTTGCACAATGTCGTAGGCTGTCGTTGGTGTTGGTGTTGTACCGGCTTAAGCTCCCAATAGGTTCCTGTTATAGGACGAGGTGGCTGTGCATCTACCTCTTCCACTTCTTGATGCTTCAAATGGAACTATCGACTGTCAGCTTGGTTCTTTTCCGTCCTGCCACTGACGATTTTACCTGTGCTTCACTCATCTGTCGAGTCTCCTGTATATCCTACGCATCAAAGCTAACGCTCTCAAGCTGATCGTAGCGAAAGATCACGTTGGTGGACAACCTGCCTCTAGTATTCATGTACAGACCTTGCGAACGTCGGTATGCTGCAGGCTCATACGCTTTATGATTCGTCAACTTCTTGCACATGACCTGGCGACATATCCATTCTGTCCTTTGTACGCGTACGAGGCGAGGGGCTCAAAGGACAAGAAACTCTAGAGTATTAAAGAACCGTCGGTATGGTTAACGATCAATCAATGACAATCAATAACGCATACGATGTCTAGTTTACAACCGTGCAATTTAATAGTACAAGAGCGTGCCAAATAGCCAATGTGAGTAAGAGGTCATGATGAGGGGCCTAGGGTATAAAGAATAAAAAGGTATCAAACGTGCAGGGAATAAAACATGGACTAGCATGTCAAAGAACACGAGCTAGCGTGCGAGCATAATATGCTCTAGTGTGTTAATGCCTGCGAAAAGAAAAATCCAAACCACGCATGATTCTAGATACATGATAGGGTCTCTTGACGACAGCTTCCCTCTTGGCGAGGGAATCGTTGGTAATTATATGCTTCTCCAGTCTGCAGCTGCCCTGGGAATCAGAAGACGTGCTGGTAGAAGCAGGTACGGAACTGGACGAATGACTTCTGGTAGAGGTAGCGGAAGAGGTAGAGGTAGTGAAAGGGGCAAAGGCAGAAGCAGCGGCAGAGGCGGATGCACTTGAGCCGCTACCGCCAAGGTCGACGACTGCAGGACCAGGGAAAGTATACGAGGCTTCTGGGTTGGTGTAAACCTAGAAAACTGTCAGCCAGGCCTACACTATGCAAAGACATCGCACATACATCAACCAATATACCAGGATCAGTGTCGCTGTAGGCTCCAGGCAATTTTACGAGATCACTGCTGGAAGGAACACCGGTGCCAGAACCCCCAACTTTGAGCTGGGTGCACGAAGGATAGAACTCTGCGCCTCCTTCTGTCTGGGCGAGCTGAAGGGCGATTATCTCGTGGCGGATAATATAGTTGCCGGCAGCGAGATTACTTGGAAGGGTCACTTGGGCGGGCACACCATTCACTGCATGATGTATCAGATAGCGCAAAAGAAAGCTATAATCGCGAACGAACTGAGAGCAGCTTGTGCCCATGTGCCATTGGTCCTTCCAGCTTCTTCAATCTTGAACCATTCTGTGCCCGTTGTGTTGTAGTCAGCGCATGACTGGTCGCCGCAATTGGTCATGTAGGTCAACATAGGTCCGACGTTGTGGGGCCACTATCAAGGAAAATGAGCTTAAATAAATTCCGAACCAGCGAAACTGATAGCTTACTGGGGAACCGCTAGCGCCTGTCCACAAGAACGAGATGGAGCTTTCGGGATTGGCATCGGCGACTTGGATAGCTGCAATGGCACCTGACCCGCAGGTAAGATCGGGATTGCTCGCGCCCTTGACGGGATCCTGGGTCGAGACTTCACGGGTGATTCCATCGGTACTGCCAGAATCAACAGCGGGACCGGTGTACTCTGTACCGTCGATGGTGACCTTTTGCACGTATCCGTGCGCGGCGACGTAGGAAGCAGCGAGGAATGGGAAGAAAAAAGAGGCTTTCATGATTGCCATTGGTCAATGAAAGAGAGTATACAAAAGTCAGTCAGCGCAGCGAAAAGACTGTCGGTATCGGAAGATGACGATTCAAGGAAGGTGACGGAGTTTGGGAACGGTCGCGCTTGCCAGGAGAGAAGCTGAAAGCAACGACGCTCTTTTATAATAGACATTAGGTGCGTGCATGTAGCGAGAAATAGTCATGCATCATGGAAAGGGGGAACTAGCACGAGAGAGACGTGGGAGTGTCGTGTAAATGCCCAGTTATATGGGAAGGAAGAGACTGATAAGGATGGAAATAGAACTGGATAAAAATACGGAACCTTGTTATTTCCGTCCTTCATTCCTGCCTCATGTTTCCGAAAACCTGACGACTACAGGCGACAACGACGCGTCGTGGGCGTTGATTTATCTGTACCTATATAAGCAAGGAATATCCATGCATGTCCTGCACCGCAAAATCGTTGACGGCGGATTCCAGCAGGAGCTATAGCGAGATCCAGGAGGTTGACGAGTTTTGCATTCAAACCATGTTTCTCAACGTTTGGATGGTAACCCACGCGAAGAGAAAATGGAGTACCTTGGATTCAAGCACCGTCTAAATCAAGGGATATCGTGAGGGTATTTTATTACCTCGATCGTTGACACTCGTGCCGACCTACCTCTATTCATGAGGAACTCTTCCTAAGGTATGGACCATGTATCTCGTGCGATCTCTGATTGGCTACCTTGCACGCATACGAGGCGAGGAGCTCATAGCAAACGTCTACGAAGAAACTACGCACCAGCGGAATCCAACAAGCACTTCAGTGATCGACGGTGCATTCAACACGTGAATGAAATCTGGTAATATAGTCTGATAGTACAATGTCATGGACTCACCGCTTCATATAATAATGGATAGCGATTAAGGGCATGGCAGATAGCAAATGCTAGTGGGAGAAAATACGCAAGGGATATAAACACAGCCAGGTATCGAACATACAGGATAGACCAGCAAGTCAAAGCAAAAGCACGAGCCAGCATGCGAGTATGAGCAGTCAATGCCTGTGAAAAGAGAAGTCCAAACCACGCAGGATTCTAGATACATGGCTGGCTACAATTTTCCTCTTGGCGAGAGTAGCGGTGTCATTGGCAGTTGGGTGCTTTTTCAGCCTGCAGATTCCTCTTGAACTAGAGGAGGTGCCGTCACCACCAAGGTCGACAACTGCAGGACCAGGGAAAGTGTACGAGTCATTCTGGCTGTCGGTGTAAACCTTGACAAATGTTAGCCAGGCTTGCGCTGAAAAAGCATCCCACGTACATCGATCAGAATGCCAGGATCAGTGTCGCTGTAGGCTCCAGGCAACTTTACGAGATCACTGTCAGAAGGAGTACCGGTACCAGAGCCCCCGACTTTGAGCTGGGTGCACGAAGGGTAGAACTCTGCGCCTCCCTCTGCCTGGGCGTTGTGAAGAGCGATTATCTCGTGGCGGATGATGTAATTGCCAGCAGCGAGGTTACTTGGAAGGGTCACTTCGGCAGCCGTACCACTCACTGCATCAGGGTATAAGACAGCGCAAATGAAAGTTGGAATTGCATACGCACTGAGAGCGGCTTGTGCCCATGTGCCGTCCGTCTTGCCAACTTCCTCAATCTTGAACCATTCTGTACCCGTCGGATCGTAGTCAGCGCAGGACTGGTCGCCGCAGTTGGTCATGTATGTTATCATGGGTCCGACATTATGAGGCCACTATCAGGGAAAATAGGCTTAAATACCAAGCTGATGAAACGGACACTTACCGCTGAACCGCTAGCACCTGTCCACAAGAACGAGATGGAGCTTCCGGGATTGGCATCGGCGACTTGGATAGCTGCAATGGCACCTGGCCCACATGTAAGATTGGAATTCGTGGCACCTTTGACGGGATCCTGGGTCGAGACTTCACGGGTGATTCCATCGGTACTGCCAGAATCAACAGCGGGACCGGTGTACTCTGTACCGTCGATGGTGACCTTTTGCACGTATCCATGTGCGGCAACATAGGAAGCAACGAGGAAAGGGAGGGAAAAGGATGCCTTCATTGGTTGGGGAAAAGAATTAAGGAAGGTGAGAAGGATGGGAGACCGGGAAACGGTAAAAGTGGGGGGTGGAACGTTGATGGCATATTCACCCTGCCTAGAGTTGGTCGGCTTTCGCCGTGTCGACGACGGTGATCATCACACTTATCCACCATGTCGGTTCCCAAGTTTTTTCTCGCGTTAGCAGATCATAATGGTGCACAAGTCTACCTCTCATCGACAACGCGACCATCGAAGAGCTCCGCGACAATGTACAGCGACTACACAACATCTCTTGCTACCAGTGCAACTCGTCTCGCATCACTACTGCATGCAAGTGCACACTCAGCTTTCCTGTAGGCGCTATGTTGCTTGATCCACCCCCGCCGGGGGCTGTGAAGCTCAATGACGAGGATCCCCTAGCGCTGCATTATCCCGTCCGTGCGAACGACAGACCTCGAGTTATTGAGTTGATGTTTGATATCGAAAAGCCTGGTATATGTTCTTCGTGATATCCTTCTGGCGTTGTGTGATGTGATCTAGACCTTGCGGCACTGTATCCAGCGTTGTCTGCTGGTGCTGGTGCTGGTGCTGGTGCTGGTGCTGGTGGTAGGCCGCAACAAGAAACCTCCGAAGATTAAACACGAGGATACCCGCAATGACCTTGGAAATGGTGTTTATACAATCCTTGCTTCTTCCAAATTGCACCTACCTTCCGACCTATGCACAGACTTTCGCCAACTAGTCTCAACACCGGACCGTCTGTACGTCGACAAGACTTTAACAACTCTTCCTATGGAAGAACATGGTTTTGTTGGCATCGTCGGTCATCCCCCAGGCTGCGGGAAATCAACATGGCTGTCTACCCTGGCCTATCTCAACGATATCCACCACGCAGGGGACCGTAAGCTTGCACCTTTTGTAGACAACATCCCTCTTCCGGAAGCCAACCAACATCACATTTTTCGACTTGACCTTACGGAACTTGTGCCCTTTGCTCACACCGAAGACGACTATATTCCTGAAGATTCAAGTTCGCCCTTGCACAGTCGGGCGTACATGTATGCTTCAAGAGCACTGAAGGATTTTGTCTGCGATGACCTCCGGATATCCTTCGACAAGTACCGAGAAGAAATACGCATATCTGATCGCAATAAGAGACTCTGTCTTTCACTTGGTTCTGCGAGATTATGCTTCGAGGCAGCCTCGGTAAGCACCTTGTTACTTTTATTGCCATCTAATAGCCACCGTTACAGGAAGAAATCTTGTACGCTCCGCATTTCCTCTACATGCTTGTCGATAATTACACGGCCCCATTCCTTCACGAGCACCTTGACTAGGACACCAAATCACAAATAGACGGTTGCCTATACAAGGAGTTCTTCTACACTATAGAATCTTTGATCCATTACGGGCGACTGGACAGTGTTCATCGTCGGCGAGTCTGTACCTCGTGAGTACAAGTTCAATTATGGGCTCGGGGAGCTTGGGAAAGATCTGCGACGCCGAAGACGTTCAGATTTACACCGGCGCAGGTCCTGACAATGAGTGAAGCACTGGGAATTGAGAAGGGCAAGGTGATTGAGGCATTGAGAAAGGACGGTATTAGGGCTGAGATGTTTATGCGCGAAGAGGGAAAGGAGAGGACTTTCGATGCCTCAAGCATCGGGTGTTTGAGGTTGATCAAGATGATCCACGGGCTGCTGTATATCATATGACGGCCGTGCTTGATGCTCTCAGAAAGATGTCGGGGAACGAGATTTAATGTGATTACGAGTATACGACGGGTCTTCAACGTTGTATCTAGCGGGCCACTGTTGTCCAGAATTAAATCAGTGACGTCCCTTACTCTGTCTGCTCCCCTTCGCACTTGACCGCATCTTTATCGTTGAGCTCCTTCACCCACTTCGTCTGGTTCTATGTGACGTCTTACCTCCTCAGGCCGACACGTACTTCCGATTACATCTTCGGATAGCACAGGAATGGCATACAGCTGGAATTCGTCTCCCCAGTAGAATCTGGGGACAGTACAAGAGGAAAAGTCGCTACGTTAATACCTTCTATTCACAAAAACTCAAGTATCCTCGGTCCCCCATTTCCATCCCTTCTTTCCTCTCTGATATTTTCCATCAGTAATACGTCTATCATACGATACTTCTTTATTCCTTACCAGCTTTACCTTCTACGTCATCACTGTACTTCCTACTTGACCTTCGCTTTCTACCTTATCTCTGTACTTTTTACCTTATCTCTTCTTCTTCTTCTCTTACGAGTCGGCGAGGTCTTCATCATAATTTACTACTGTTTACCTGAGCTTGTAATAAGCAGAGTCGACCAATAAATCCGTTATCCGTTATACAAAATGTAATATCTACTAGTCGACTTGTAATGGGCCTATTACGCAGATACGAGACAAGGTAAGATACGAGTATGGCAAAACGATATGACAAAAAACTCATAGTACTCGAATGGCAGCAGCCATATATTGATCAAGAATGTCCATCGATGGACCCATCTTCAGCGAGAACACCCATGCTTCCTACCCGTTCACGAATTTCTTCTTCCTCTCGAAAAACCTTTTCCACATACTCAGCAGCTCCTGACAGATGAGCGACATGGCAACAAGCAGCGTGAATTGCTAGATAATCGGGGCTGGGTAACAGTAGAGCCCTTGGATCAGATGATATGTACTTTGTGATATACTTAGCTATTTGTGCCAGAATCCTATGCCATCACTTCAAAATATCTGACAACCACCAAAGAGTGAAGCTCGTCATGACTGCTCTTATAAATCATCATAGCCAGGAAATCCGCTAGTAATCGTTCCCCTTCAGCGTTAATCGTCTCTATTCAGTCCATCATTTCTTTCCACGCGCAGCACACCCCAGATAGCCCATGTAAAGATTGCCTAGCCGATCAAGCACTCCCATCTTCCCATTCTCGGTCAACTTTTCGCACGATGTAGCAAGACGTGCAAGATAATACTCAGAATTATGCCCGTGATCGCTGTCTCCTGGTATCAAAACCAATAACATTCGAAACGGAAATCAACGCATAAATGGAGCCAACAACTCCATGACAAGACCGACACCTTTTAGAAGAAATCCATAACGATAGACAAGGGAGGTGCCTTTGCGAATAGATGCCATGGCATTGTTGAGAAGATGGGTATGAGCATGGAATACCTGTGGTTCTTTCGACGATGATTTCAGAAGCGTAGACAATAAGATCACGATTCCGGTTGCGCCATGGCACCACCTACGAGATGTTCTTTGACGAAAGAGATGAACGCAAAATATCCATACCTAGGTGCTTTCGTAGGCCAATTGCCCTCTTCATCTTGACAACCAACTAGACACTCTACCGTGCTCAGGACGTCAGAAATGTATGGATCCAACACGTCCAGAGGGTAAGCTAATATGATCTGCAGAATTCCAGCTAGGATTGTAAATGTCAGGATTCTTACGATTGGATGCATATGTTGGACTTACCGACACCGTGGGCAGCACCTAAATATCGCTTTCCATGCCACGATCACATAAGTACCGGAGGTTCTGCTGATTCGGTATGCTATCTTGATAAATGGACGCCCCGAACCTTCTTCTAGTCATGATAGAAGAGACAACGAGCTCAATGTCTCTGTCGGAGGCCAACTCGTACTTTCGCAGGCGTAAAAGACCATACAAGAGGCCAGCACCACCATAAAGAACTTCACATCCACCATCATGCGTCCCAGGTATCATGCGTAGATTCTTTCGTAACTGATTGGATGGCGCTACGTATGATCGTGCTGCAGGACGCCATGGCAATCTTGTCTTGAGAACTCGATGTAACAACCAGACAAGCTATACCAACAGGAGTCTCGAGAAAAGAAGCTCTCGATGGCGAGGTCATAGCGGAGATACTGGACTTGGATAATGAAAGAAGGGTTCTGGCGGAATTCGTTTGCCAACGAGCCTTATCGAGCATCTCCGAGATTCAGCGAAGACAGATGGAAAAACATCATGGAAATCCCTGTTGTCGATCTGTTAGCCGACGAATACGATCAAACTAGATGCATTACCGGCTAAACCAACATATACGGTGGAATGAACCATGTTCTCAACATTTCAACCTTGACTACACTGAGGGTGCGGTGTACCTCTTTCTGTGTAATAGAAACATCTTTCTATTGACAGAAGAATATATGTGAGTATCTCAGTCGGGCACAACGTGGGTGAAGCGACTGTATTGAGTCTACTGTACCTATTGACAGAAGAATAT